TAAGTTGGCGAGAGTGTTCTTGGTGAAAGATTAGAAACCCGCACGAGAGTAGGTGTCACTACCCAACCCCAATGCTTAGGCTGGATTTGCAACTAGCTAAATTCTAAAGTTACCAAGGTCTAATTTTAGATTAAACAAATTAAATAATGTAACGGAATAAAATTAAAATAAATAAAACAAAAGTGCATATAAATGTCTAAGGCGTATATGGGAACTTTTATTGATGTGCCATGAGTTAGTTAATAATTACAAGTAAATACCAAAAAAAGTAAAGAAAAGAAAAGAAAAACACAATATTCATCTCAAGTCTAGGTCCCAGTTAAAGGGATAAAACAATTCCTTCTTAGGTTTCTTCACCTGAAAGGGGTTTAACAACTATAAGCATATGACAGAGTGAAAAATATTATACTAGCATAAGGGTACACAAATCATCATGGATAGTTATTTAGGCTAAACAATGAATAGTTTGGTTTGAATAAATCAATTATTTTAAATAACAGACATATAATACAGAAATCATATAAGTGAAATAACTATAACCACAGTACAGAACAAAATAGAGGGTCAGTAGTTATTTATTAAATTAATTTTAATTCAGAAAGAAGAATACCTCCTGCTATGATGTTCAAGCCTGTGAATCTTTATCCTTGAATGATCAAGTCTTGAATGTATAAAGAAGCCCACTCATAGAACACTTTTACAGAACCATATGAGAAAAGTGAAAGGGATAGAGTTTCAAGCCTATTCTATGCACAAAACATCTGTGTTTGATGGCTATCATAGGCATATATATAGATAGGCTTGGACCCATATCCAAGTGTAACTCTTTATAACTTCCCACCATCAGGGAAGTTATAAAGTCCCATGAAACCACCATATGGGATATTAAACAGACATCAGTTACCCATTAACCATTAAACTAATTAATTAGCCATTAAACCAATTAATTAGTCATTAAACCAATTAAATATATATAATATAAATAAATAAATAAATAAAACAAACATGTGGTATATGGGCCACTTTATGGATATTCTTACATTTTCCCACATGGCACATATAACACATGTTGTTGACTGTCGGGCAACTACCAAACTAATGATGGTCATTAAATAAAAAAACCCAAACCTTAGAGGTATAATACACGAATCATGGCGGTTATACTCTATCAATTAAGTATTTCCTTCCATGTATTACATTGTATCACACTCTCAACTTAATGTGGTGTCATTCTTTATGAATAACTTCCATGGGACCATTAGAGGGTCACTAAAGTGACTAATCAAAGGGCCAAATGTTATTTAAGTCCCTCAAAGCATGGGACCTCCATAGTGGTACTTACAAAATAATTATTTAAAAACACATTTAATAAACAGTTCTATCCATGGGTTTCCATTTTTAAGTGAATAGGGTTCACAAAATAAATAACATAATTGTGATGCTAATATAATTTTAAAAGAATGATTTGCACAAAATAATTTATAAAATAATAAAACAATTTTATGGTTACTCAAGGTATAATATAACTCACCTTAATGTCAATTCCTACTTTTTTATCTCCAATTTTCCTTGATCTCCTGAAGCTTCTCTTCTTTTATTACTGTTTCCGTTGATTTACTTGTGCTTCCCACTGATCCCTGTTTTATACTTGGGCTTGGAAGGTGACTCAATACTCTATCTATGTGATGATTCACTCATCTACATATTAGCCTTCACAGGTGGCCTCTTCAAAGTCCTCCAGTCATGTTGCCTACGTTTCTTCATAATCCCCTCTTGGCCCAACTATTTGTAATAATTTCATGATTGTTTTGATTTGGCTCCAAACAATATAAAAATCACATTTTTTGGTAAACCAATGCCTATTAATTCAAATTAGATTAAATTTTAGCACATATAACTATGAAATTCAATACATTATTATTATTATTATTATTATTATTATTATTATTGGTTGATATTAACATGGTGTTAGAATTAATTAAATATTTAAGGTGTCATATTTCTCCCCTCCTAAATAGAAGTTTGCCCTCAAACTTTTCATACCTTAGTTTTCGAAAAGATGTGGATATCGGGTCCACATTCGATGCTCCCCATGTAGCTTTTTCGACACGATGATTCTGCCATAAGACTTTTACCAGAGGTATAGTCTTGTTTCGAAGAGTCTGATCACGACAGTCGAGGATTTGTACTGGTTGCTCTTCATAAAAGAGATTCCAGTATTTCAAATGGTCCGATGTAACTTGGGTTCAATTTTGCTCGTTCTCCAAATCGAATGACTCCCCTTGTTGGTGAGACCTTTAAGAAGACATGATCTCCTACTTGAAATTCCAAATCCCATCTCCGTGTATCTACATAGCTTTTCTGGCTACTCTAGGTAGTGTGAATTCGCTATTGGATGAGTTGCATTTTGTCACTGGTCATCTGCACAATTTATGGACCCAATAACTTTTTGTCTCCTACATCTATCCAACATATAGGTAATTAACATTTCCTCACATACAACACCTTATATGGTGCCATCTCGATGCTTGCTTGGTAACTGTTATTATAAAGGAATTCTACTAATGGCAGATGCTTGTCCCAATTACCTTAAAGGTCTAATATGCATACCCGTAACATGTCCTCCAATGTTTGAATCGTTCTTTTGGATTGTCCATTGATTTGCGGGTGATAAGCTATGCTAAACTTTAGTGTTGTTCCCAAAACTACCTGTAACTTGTTCTAGAATTGACATACAGAAATGAGGGTCTCGATCTGATACAATTGATACCAGGGTGCCATGCTGATCTCCTTAATATATAAAATGACAAATTTTTTAAGAGAGTATGTGACTCTGACGGGCAGAAAATATGTTGATTTCGTTAGTCGATCTACTATGACCCATATCGCATCATTCTTTGAGGCTAATTGTGATAATCCAATAACGAAGTCTATGGTAATGTGTTCTTATTTCCATTCAGGAATAGGGAGTGGTTGTAGCAGTCCTACAAGTCTTTGATGCTTTGCCTTAACTCGTTGACATTAGAAGCATTTGGAAACATGGCTTGCTATGTCTCTTTTCATTCATGTCCACCAATAATGCTCTCTCAGATCGTGGTACATTTTTGTATTTCCAGGGTGAGCTGCGAATCTCGCGCTATGGGCTTCTATCAATATCTTCTTTTTGATTTCTAGAATGTCGGGGTACACAAATTCAGTTTCAAAACTTTAGTATCCCATTGTCCATAGTAAAATTAGAGTTGGGCGTACTTCTTTTCTCATCGTACCCTTTTTTTAAAAGCTTATCCTCACATTGATGCCCCCTAATTTCATTGACTATCGTAGGTTCCATGACTATATTAACGAGAAATCCATCAGCCTTGTGAGGAACCAACTCCAAGTCTAGTTTTTCAACGTCTCCAATAAGTGATTTATTGTTTGTGAGGAAGTATGCCAAGCTTCTAGTGGTCTTCCGACTCAGTGCATATGTTATCACATTAGCCTTGCCTGGGTGGTGTTGAATCTTCACATCATAATCTTTCATAAACTCTAACCACCGACGTCTCATGTTCAGTTCTTTTGGTGTAAACAGATATTTAAGACTCATGTGGTCCGTGTAAATTTTGCATATTACTCCTAGAGGTAATGACGCCAAATTTTAAGAGCTAAAATCACTGCAGTCAATTCCAGATCATGAGTTTGGTAGTTCTTCTTATGAGTCTTTAGTTAACGTGAGGCGTACGCAATAACTTTCCCATCTTGCATAAGTACGCAACCCAGTCCATTGATCACTATAGATTACAAATCCATTCATTTAGCAGGGAGTGCCAATATGGGCATTGTCACGAGTCTACTTTTTAACTCTTGGAAGCAACATTTTCATTTGTCAGTTCACTCTAATGATGTATTCTTTTGGGTCAATTGAGTCAACGGTGACACAATCTTCGAGAAATCTATATGAAACTTCAATAATATCCTACTAATCCCAGGAAACTCTGAACTTCAGATATATTAGTGGGTCGCGGCCAATCCACGATAGTGCAACCTTTTGTGGATCGACAGAGATGCTGTTCTTGTCAATGACGTGGGCGAGGAAGTGTACACTAGTGATCCAGAACTCGCATTTCATTAACTTGGCATAAAGTTTGTAATCATGTAGTGCCTGCAGAACTAATTATAAGTGTTGCTCATGGTCGGTGTTTTAGAGTATACAAGAATGTTATCAATGAATACAATAACAAACTCATCAAGATAGGGTTTGAACACCCTATTCGTGAGGTCCATAAAGGCCGCTAAAGCGTTTGTGACACTAAATGGCATGACTAGGAACTCATAGTGTTCATAATGTGTTCTGAAGGCAGTCTTCTCAATGCTTCTGGCTTCGACCTTCACTTGATGGTAGCTAGACCTCAAGTCGATCTTCGAGAATACTTGAGTGCCTTGAAGTTGATCAAATAAGTTATCAATTCACGATAAAGGGTACGAATTCTTAATGCTAACCTCATTCAATTCTCGATAATTGATACATAATCTCATCGCGCAATCTTTTTTCTTTACGAATAGTACCCGAGCTCTCCATGGTGAGATACTTGGTCGTATGAAGCCCTTGTTAAGCAATTCCTAGAGTTTCCTTTTTAACTCTTTCAATTCCACAATCGACATGCGATAAGGGATTTTTGATATTAGTTGCATACAAGGTTGAGTTTCAATGGTGAACTCGACTTCTCGGTCAACTAAAGTACCAGGTAAGACTTTAGGAAAGACATCAGGAAACTCCTGTACTACAGGTAATGAATTGAATGTTGGGTTTACTTGTTGAGTGTCAACCATATAACAAATATAACCACAACAACCTTATCTTAAAAGTCATTGGGCTATTGCGGAGGATATTAAACATGGAGGGGTAAAAACTCTGGTTCCTTCAAAGATAAGTTCGCGTTGGTCAGGTAATCGGAGAAAGACTTTTTTGGTTGTACAATCAATAGAGGCATGGTTGGCAGCAAGCCAATTCATTCCTAAGATTATATCAAACTACTGATGCGAAGTGGAATCAGATCCACATACAAGGTTTCATCTTCTAGGGATATAGCACGGTATATGTATTCCTCCGTACTAAGTGCGAAACCATTGGATGAAAAAGACACAAATAATGCATATCCCAAGGGTTTAGATGTTGATGTCAATTTGGAAGTAAAATGTGGAGAAACAAAAGAATGAGTTGATCCAGAATCAATGAGAATATGAGTTGAATGACCACATAGAGAAAGTGTACCTGACATAACGTTCTTAGTAGCGTCGGGGTTTCTAGGTACTAAAGCAAAAGCTTTCCCTTGGCATTTCTGTTCTTTCTTCTCTTTTATGACTGTTCCTGATTTCTGAGCTGGTTTGGGAGTACCCATCGCAGAGTTGGTGAATTTTGGATAATCTTTCACCAAATGACCAACTTGGCCACATCTATAGCATGCTCCCATTGCTCGATAGTACTGTCCTCGGTGAGCCTTCCCACGATTTGGACAATTCGAAATGGTGCTACCCCTTGGGATAGTAGAGCTTTGATTGGCCGAACTAGTTAAGCCAGTAGGTCCGAAATCCATTTTCTTTGATAAAGCTGCCCTAGATACTTCGACTAGTCCCCAAAATCACTTCTTTTGACCTATTCTGCCCGAACATGAGGTTTTAATTACTTTCTCAGTGATGTAGCCCGATCTACCACATCCGCATAGGTTGATAGTTTCAAAACCTCAATCTTATTTTTGATTTCAGCATCCAATCCTGCTTCGAACTTCCTCGCTTTTCGGGCTTCTGTTGGAATAACATATGCTGCAAATCGCGTAGTAGGGTGAACTTACTTTCGTATTTTGCTACCGACATCGTTCCTTGCTTCAAGTGTAGGAACTCCGACGCCTTCTGCTTCCGTAGTGATTCTGGAAAGTACTTTTCATAGAATACTTCTAGAAATCTAACCCAAGTCACGATCTCTTCCTTTTCTAAGGTAAGAAGCCACCATTCTTGTGCATCCTTTTTAAGAGTGAAGGTGGCGAATGACACCTTCTGTTCTTCTATGCAGGGTAGGGCATGAAAAATCTTCTCCATTTCTTTAACCCAAGCTTCAGCTAGCAATAGGTTTGAGTCCCCTGTGAATGTGGAAGGTTTCAGGTCTTGGAATTGTTTAATTGTAGTTGGCCCTTCACAATGTTTTGGTATTCCATTGGTTACATTGTTTTGCAAGGCTTGCAAGAAACTAGCAACAACCCTTTCTACGATTTTTTCCATTGGATCGACTCCGCTAGACGATGATCCGGTACCATTTCCATCGTTACCCACAGCTATAAAGCAACAGTTTTAATGAAGGTGGTGCATAATTTCTATTTATACATAACAATTGTTAATCATCACTCACTTAATTTAAAATGTTACAAACATAATTTATAAAACATAGTTCACCAAACATTATACATATTATTCACAAAAGTACTGATTTTATTTATGCATAATGGTGTTGCTATATTACTCATCCTTACGAGTTAATAGTTGCATCTAGTTAGTGTCTAATCCCCCCTATGCAAAAACGGATTAGAACTAGGTCACACTTAGCTCACTATACCTCAAAGAAAAAAAAAAGATACAAAACACAAATCACAAAAAAAAAACATTACTCTTCGAGATTTAATTTGGAAATAACCACGGAAATTGCAGCTGCATATGGTGCTCAAACTCCTAACCACTAACCACTAACCAAACTACCTCCACCTGGTAGATGGGAATGCTTGCTCTGTAACGCCATAATTGGCGTCCTGTGATGCATACCGACACCTCTAGATATGTCGTAAAATCATCAAAATCAACTGTTTGGACATTAATAATGTTTTGAGGGAGAGAGATTCTTACTTGCAGGTGGTCACTTAAAAAATCATTCCCTCTTCGGGCCATAAACTCCTGAGGCAAGGGTGCTACCAAGAAGCGGGGGTATCCTAGGCCTGAGGTCATGCCTACCACTCTTGTTGGTCCTAGAAATCTGTCCAGTGTACTATCGCAAATTCTCCACCATAGTAGTTCCATCTCTATTGGAACTGCTCACAGGTATACCGGTCTACCCATTAACCGGTTCAAGGTCAGGTTTGCATGTCTAATTATGTCTTTAGAATTCCTTATTCCTTCTAGCAGATCTGGGACATAGTTGTTGTTCTTAAAAATCCTCTCAAACTTTAGTGGATCAGGCCTGAAAAATCTAGAAATCCCCTAGGAAGAGTTGTTGGCTGAAATAAACCAACTCCTGTTACCCTTCAGCCGAAGTAAGGGTATGGCTGAAGGGTGGTTGGCTGGAATAAACCAACTGCTGTTACTCTTCAGCCGAAGTAAGGGTATGGCTGAATGGTGGTTGGTGTAACAAGCCCGCGGGGGACCTCGCTACAGCTCGGACTCGACTTTTCGTAGTCACGGTTCTAAATCTGAACCAAAGAGTCCGAATCCGGCAAATCGTTTTAGGAAAAACTGATTTTTGAAAGAAGTGCCAAACATGGACTGCTTTGCCAGATACAGAGTCGCCACCTAAATATTTTATTTTGGGAAATTTAGGAAACCCTGACTCGGTGCCAAAAGGCCACGTGTCCGTCATCACCAAAGTTGCCTCGGCTCGGGAACTTGGGTACGATTGGGGAAGGTCACTTCGTGAGCACCCCCGCTCGCCCGGTCATAGACCGGCCTCTACTAACCATGATATCAATTTTTGAAAACATTGTGAGTTCTTTATTCCGGTTATTAGCCTAGGTTACTATGTGATGCTCACAGCATATAAGTATAGACCGGGTCGCCCTAATTGGAACAGAACATTTCATGTTTGTTTTTGAAAATGGTTTGCTACTCGCAGGTAGGCTTGAAACATTTTGATGATTCATTCCAATTCAGATAACCCAACCTTCACCCACAGGCATTCAGGCAGATATATCACATAAGCATATAGCCTCATGGTAAGCATGCTATCATGGCATTCACTCACACACATGCGCCTCCACTAAATTGGATGTGTGGACCTTGGACAGTTGTGGTGGAAGCGGGGGCGGAGCTGGCCCCGTTGGAA